GCGGATCACCTAAGGTCAGGAGTTCGAGACCAGCCTGGCCAGCGTGGCAAAACCCCGTCTCTACAAAAAATACAAAAATTAGCCAGGTGCAGTGGGTGCCTGTAATCCCAGCTACTCGGGTGGCTGAGGCAGGAGAATCACTTGAACCTGGGAGGTGGAGGTTGTGGTGAGCTGAGATCACACCACTGCACTCCAGCCTGGGCAACAGAGTAAGACTCCATCTCAAATACAAACAAACAAAAGACAGACAAAAGGGAAACTGTCAATTATTCAGTGGCTACTAAGTGTTGCTATTTCAACACATTATCTCTTCCACTCCTTCCAACGATCCAGCAAAAACCTGTATTTCCTCTAGTTAACAGATGAGAAAAACTAGGTTCAGAGAGGCCTCGTAACTTACCCAACGTCACACGGTTAATATCCTACACAACCAGCACTGAGCCCAGCTTGCCTGCCTCAGAAGCCCGAACACCGCATCACCATGTGGGGGAGTTGAAAGGCCCCTATGGGCAGAGGCCTTCCCGTCTGACTCACGCTGCGGGTGTGAGAACTCCCGTCTCCATTTACAGACTCGTGCCGCACCCTTCTTTTCCCAGGCCACCTCACAGCACAGCAAATGCAAATTAAAATATGAATATTGATATCAAAATAGTAACCAAAGTTGGAATTTCTGTGATTGAGGCTGCAGCGTATTTTAATGTGTCGGGAGACAGGGAGCTGACAGTTGTGTGATAAGGTGTGAAAATGTCTGTTCTACCAGCGTCTACCTAGCTCGCCCTGCCCCACGCATGCTTACTCACTCCCTTCAATGGGAACAGTTTGGCCAGAAATTCAAGCCTCTGTGAAAGCAACTGTGAATTTGCTCCTTTCAATCACAGAGACTCTAAATCAACAAGCTCGATTTGTCTTTTAAAGATCAAAGATTTGTAATCCCAGCACTTTGAGAGGCCCAGGAGGGAGGATCGCTTGAGCCCAGGAGTTTGAGACCAGTATGGGCGACACAGCAAAACTCTGTCCCTAAAAGAAATTAGCCAGGCATGGTGGTGCATGCCTGTTTGTCCTAGCTACTCTGGAGGTTGAGGCGGGAGGATCCCTTGAGCCTGGGAGGTCAAGGCTGCAGTGATTGTGCCACTGCACTGGGAGACAGAGTGAGACCCTGTTTCAAAACAAAGAAAAACAAAACAAAACAAAATAAAACAAAACAAAACAAAAAAAAAAAAAAGAAAAGAAGAGGATCAAAGATTCAGAAACTTTACAAAGGGCTGTGAAATGGGCCCATTTGGCTAAATCATTTTGATACCGAAGAAAAAAGAGAAAAATTTCAGGGGTTCCTCAATAGGCAAAAGAGGACATCCCTATGTGGCTGTCTTAACATTGCCTGCAGGTGAGGAGAAATGTACTTGCGGCCACTGCTTTTAAAGCGGGGCATTCTCATGCCAGCCCTGCACGGTGCTGCAGCGGAAGGCAATTTGTTGACAGTCACGAGCCATCCAGGAGGCATTCTACTGGCAGGGAGACACTCCAGATGAAAGCACTACACTCATCCTTAGAAAGCAATGGCGGGGTAGCATCTTTGCCATCTCTTCTTTTTCCTAATTTTGAGCAAGTCAGACTTCAAAGGAGGCCAAGCTATAGAAGAACATGACCACCTTGCTCCATTTATCTAGAGAAATATGTTATCCATCCTTCTTTTTTTGTTGTTGGGTTGAAGCAGAGCAGGTATGGAAAAAAGCCACACCATCGGATCTATTAACAATTATTTGCCAATGGTCATACGGATATCCTGAAAGCTCCGATTTCAAATGCTTTGAAAATCTGCAGCACAAATGAACAAGGGATGGAGAAGGGGCCCTGCTCAGTCATATTAGAGATGGACCCTCCACACACCATGGTGACCTCTCCACAGGTCGGCCCCACATTTTCTATTTGCAATTCAAACCCAAGGCGAGGGTGAAGAGGGCAAGCTTGGGTTCTTGATTATATCTGCAAGGTCACCATTGCTATGCAGAGTTACAGGAGGCCAGGTGGCAACCCAGCACATTTGAAAATTGGATCTTTGTTGGAAACTGCCTCAATTTCATGGCAGAAACCAAACTTGAGATGTCTATATTAGAGGCATCTGGGGAGCCATGAGGTACATTCGTTGCCAGATAAAGGGGAGGAGGGAAAGGGGAGAAGGACAAAAAAACCAAGGAAATATTTTCTACTGCTATGTGAGAGGTCAGGTGCAGCCAGATCCTAAATTAGCTCAAGAAAGGGTGCTGGAGAGTGCTGGAGCCCCAAGTCCCGTAGATGCGAACAATGCTAGAGTTTCAATTACAAAATAGCTCTCTTCCAAGAACAACTGCAAAATATCAAGTCTGTGGAAATCTGTACGACCGAAGGGGGGAAAAGTGAAAATTGAAAAGGGTGCACTAATAGATCTGTCAACAGTCCAATGGTGACAAGCCACATTTCTATAAAATGCCTTCACCGTTTGTGTCACCTGAAATGTACTGACACTCTCTATAGAACATTATCTCCTGAAGCTATTCTTGAAAAGACTGGCAGGGGGAAGGGAAGGGGAGGGCGACATCTGCTTTAGATACTATCAAGGAACGGAAAGGGAGAGAGCGTGGAAGGAAAGTGATCTAGACTGTTTAAACAAACCTTTGAACAACCACATTAAAAAAATCGGAGCTTAACTGGTTATTTGCAGAAATGTTACTTATCATAAGAAGGGGATTTTCCTAAGACCAGAGGCTTGCACATACAAGTAGGGAGGTAAGGTGATGTCTGTAGCTTAATGGTCTGCAGAGAGTGGATCTGACCAATGAGGGCGCATGGGGCCTTTGCCTGAGGAGGGGCCCCTTTCTTTGCTTACTTCAGGGGATATTCTAATACCAAGCAGAGCCTACGATCCAGGCATCAAGGAGGGAAAACTCCCCATTCCCTGCCACTCCGTTTTATGTCTGCAATCCAATTCGGCTACATGCAACTGGGATGGGAGATAAAAAGGTATATTTAGGGACTTAAATAACATCCAAGTAAAGAATGCCACCTGCCAGTCTCTGGCAGGGTGCAAACAGACTACAGTTTAAGGTCTATCTGGATTTACATTACAGAGCTTTTATTTCAGGATGTGAATCTCAGCTGTTAAAAATCCACTCTCAGCCGAAACTAAGAATTTAAATGCTTAGTCAGAGCAAATTATTTTCCAATTAAAAGAAAGGAATCAATTCCTTCGACCCTTTCAAGTTAATTAGAGGTCCTTTCTGACTTCAGAAAATTAAAACTGCTTTCAATTTTTTAAAAACTGCAGAGCTAGACAAAGGGCCTTATTAGAGTGGTACATTTGGGGGCATAGGGATAATGAAGTAGGTGATCCCAAACATCTTTTGGAAAACAAAACACTTGTTTGAGGAAGGCAGTGTGCAATGCAATAGCAGTAAGAGCACACAGCCACCAGATGTTGATGGAGCTGGAATCCAATTCTGGCTCTGCTAGGCTCAGGGTGGCCCTGGGCAAATGACTTCACCTCTGAACTGTGGTCTGTTTACTCACGAAATGGGAACAATACTTCACAGTGCTGTTCTGAGGACTAAGTGTGAAAGCTCCTAGCCTGGACCACCCTTAAGAGGAGCTTAAAGAAGTGTGGCAACAGGCCAGGCACGGTGGCTCACACCTGTAATCCCAGCACTTTGGGAGGCCGAGGCAGGCGGATCACGAGGTGAGGAGATCGAGACCATCCTGGCCAACATGGTGAAACCCCGTCTCTACTAAAAATACAAAAATTAGCCAGGTGTAGTGGCGTGTGCCTGTAGTCCCAGTTACTTCGGAGGCTGAGGCACTCCAGCATGGCAACACAGTGAGACTCTGTCTCAAAAAAAAAAAAAAAAAAAAAAACCCCAAAAATGTGGCAACAATAATAATGATGATGATGCCATTCATAATAATATAAAAAAGCCCTCCCTGTTATAGTAACCTCACTGTCTTAAGTCTAGAAATTCAATCTGGGGGCATAAAAAGGAATGAATTAATGGCATTCACAGCAAGCTGGATGGGATTGGAGACTCTTATTCTAAGTGAAGTAACTCAGGAATGGAAAACCAAACATCGTATGTTCTCACTCATAAGTGGGAGCTAAGCTATGAGGATGCAAAGGCATAAGAATGACACAATAGACTCTGGGGACTCAAGGAAAGGCTGGGAAGGGGGTGAGGGATAAAATACTACAAGTTGGGTTCAGTGTATACTGCTCAGGTGATGGGTGCACCAAAATCTCACAAATCATAGCTAAAGAACTTACTCATGTATCCAAATACCACCTGTTCCCCCAAAAGCCTATGGAAATAAAAAAATTAAAATAAAATAAAATACAAAAAAAATGTCAGATTAAAAAAAGAAAGGAAAAAAAAGAGATTCGGGCTGGGGAAATCTTAGCTAGGACATAGCTGGGTGAAGACAATCAGAGCACTCCCCTCCACACTCAGAGTCTCAACAGCGCCCACTGGGTTACGCTCACTTGGTCCCCCAGGGCGAGGTAAGCCCACAGCATTCTGCTCAGCCCCACCCCTTGTGCTGTGTCTGGGCGGTGGCCATGTGCATGCTGGACCCTGGCAATCATTCCCCAGAGATGCTCCTTGGTTTTGGTTACAACCGGCCCTGGGGCAGAGGTCGGCCGTAGGGGGTGGGCGGATGCCAGATGGGAGCACCAAGCCAATTTCTACAGACGCCTGTGAACCCAGGCCTGGTGGGGTGGGCAAGGGACAGACCGACAGTGGCAACTCTGAACTTGCTCGCCTTTGTGGGTTTAAGCCAGAGTCTTAATGTTATTTGAAGACAGTTTTTTGTCTGTGAATATTTATAACAGTGTGAAAACTCCCGGACAGCTGGTAATGCATTTTGAAGTGTGTTAACAACACTGTATCAAACAGCCCTCTATTGATCCCCTCGTACTTTTTTGTGGCCATGCATTTCATACATGGTGCTTATACATTTTGAATAAGAACTTCAAGTACCTTTTGCTTCAAGCGGTTTTTCACCTCTTTTATTCCCATTTTTGCATGATCTTTTGCCTGCATGAAAAATTAATTTAAGTTAAGATTCCCTTTCTGTTTCCAGCAGGGACTATGCTTGATTTCAGTCCGTCGAGAATCACCTTCTCTGATTACTAGAAAAAGGAAGGAAAAATGGGATCATCAAGTCGAAAACATAATGGCTATGAAAACAAATATAACAGCAAAAGGTTAAAAAAAAAAAACCCTTAAAGAGGCTGGAGAGATTTTAGTTTCTGCATTTTGATGGCACAGATTTTTTTTTTCTTTCCCTTCCAAAGCCCTTCTTTTGCTCTCTATAATTATTTATCTCGGCAGCCTGGTGACAGCTACCAGTAAGAGTACAGCAGCCGTGTTTCTGGCTGGAAGATTCAGAATATCCATTCTATTTCACCAGGGCACGGCCCCAGGACTGATTTTCTGCCCAGGCTGAATGGACGGAACAGACACATTGCTGGGTTTCTGAAGTGCCATTTCCTAAATCTCATTTTGGCAGACACCCTGGCTTTGATTTCAGGTCATTTTAGACCTGTGTGGTTCTGCTGGCAGCCACCCACCCTGCTAAAATAACCACAGTTTAAGCACAGAGAGGACTAACACAATTAAAAATGGAAATAAAATAAAACCACCCCGCTTCAGTGGCTCACGGTCAAATTAGCAAGCAGGAGAAGTCACAAGAAAAAATAGTCGATGCTTGTGAAAGACGGAGCGCCGGGAACAGATGTGCTCTCCTGTTTTCACTCGGCTGTGGACACGAGTCTCACAAATAATGCATTTCCTATAGGGCAGTGATCAGAGAGATGATGAAGAATTTGGGACAGAAATTAAGTGGTGTATGCCACCATGAACACTCTTCAGTAACCTGCAAAGGGGCTGCTTTATTTTGACCCAGTAATGGGGATGCCTGCAGGAAGGCTTTCCCAGACACCAGATAGGCCATGCTTCTGGGTCTCAGAAACAGAGGCAGGGTGCAGCCACCTAGTCTGCATTTTAAAAGCTAAAACCAGTAGCCTCCCATTTCTCTACTGTGGCAAATGTGAGCACCAACACTATAAATCAAAAATGTCACTGAACCGGTTATAATAATCTGCTAAATAATTTGAAGAATATTGAGACCTTCAGGAAAGAGCTCGGCAGCCTGAGTCACCTCTGCAACAGAGGACCAGGTATACTTAAGAGTCTCATCACTTGGCTGGGTGCAGCAGCTCATGCTGGTAATCCCAGCACTTTGGGAGGCCAAGGCAGGAGGATTGTTTGAGCCCAGGAGTTCAAGAACAGCCTGGGTAACATACTGAGACATGTCTGTCTTAAGAAAAAAAAAAAAAGCCAGGTGTGGTGGTGCACACCTGTAGTTCCTGGTGTACTGGGGAGGCTGAGGTGGGAGGATTGCTTGGGCCCTGGAGGTCAAGGCTGCAGGGAGCTGTGATCGCACCACTGCACTCCAGCCTGGGCAACAGAGCAAGACCCTGTCTCAAAAATAAGTAAATAAATAAAGAGTCTCATCATGCTAAGGGACTGATCTGTTTTGGCTCCTGAGAGCAAGACCAGTACTTACGAACTTGTAGACAGTCTTCATGGCCGGGTTTGCTTTGGTCTTTACAGTATTCAGAATTGCTCCACTTCCTTTCTATAATAAAAATGTCAATTAGCAATTTGGGCTGAAGACAGAGTCATCCAACACCAACAAAGAGTGCTTCTCTTCAATCAGGCTAAGCAACATTTCAAAGGTATGTAAATGCACATCGAGAAAGAGGCCTGGATGATAGCTGGTCCCAGCCAGTCAGTTATGGTCGTGGCGGAAGGGCTCTGGGTGGGAGCTGTGGGTGGGTGGGTGTGTGTGGACTGGGGATGAGGAGTGTGAATTGGCGGAGGGGGACTCTAGACTCAGTGCTCTGCCTGGCACCTGTTCCCTGGCTGGAGGGAACTGCATCGCAGGCTGCCTAAGGCAAGGGCTTCCCTATGGGCATCTGTGGCTTTTCAAGACATTCTAGTTACCACGGATGACACTCAGGTAAGTTTAATAACCATGGACTCCACAGCTGACACCAAGCCGGGGCAGAAAGAGGGGCCCTGATCAGCCAGGATCGTTGGGAAATACGTTGCCCTCACCGTGCAACTTCCTTTTCTTGCCTTGGTTTTCTGTGTTGTTTTTTTATATCTCTCTGGTAGGCTGCCTTCCTTAACATCTAAATCTTGAGAAAAGGAAAGAATGAATAGCCACAAATGTTCACCATGGCTTTAGTTAAATCCGACACAGCAATTTCTCGCTCACTTTCTTTAGGAGCAAAAGTGGGAGGAAGGAGGAGGGAAGGCCCTCCCGCTCCGAAAGGAGGCAGTGGAGGGACCTGAAGTGCACAGGGCACGTTTTCATAGCTGTCCGTGAATCCGTTTCTCAGTCTCATCCCTGCAGACACGTCGTGAGGGTTCTGAAGGCACCAGGCCGAGGGAGGCCTGGTCTCTGCCTTCCAAAACCTCCAGTCGGAGAGGCGGGACAGCACAGTAAATAATTACAACAGCAGGTGATGATGGCTCTAATGGCTGTGTGCACAGGGAGCATGGAGACTTGGAAGATCAGGGAAGGCCTTGGAGGATGAAACATTGGACTTGGTCCATGAAGGATAAATAGGAGTTGATGTAGGAGATGGGAGGAGAACATTCTAGGGACAGGAAATAGCACATAAAAGAAAATGCGGAAGCTGGAAAGCCATGGCGTATGCTGTAACAAGTGGCTCCTGTACTGCACCATGACACACTCCCATGAGTGTATCATCAGAGAAGCAGTAAGTGAGGCTGGGAGGCCGGATGAGGCCAGCTCATGAAGGACCTGGAATGCCAGGCTAAGGGGTTTACACTATGGAGCATTTTTAATCAAATTCATCACAGAATCAGGTCTGTGGTGGTTTAAAAAAACTGATTCAGATGGAGAGAGGCTGGAACCAGTGGGTACCTAAGAGAATAAGATATAGTAATGTAATTATTGGTCTTAACATTTAGCAAAATTTTTGGTAACTGCCCACATGAGAAATTTTGAGCTTTAGTTAAAAACATTACAATTTGACCTAGAAAGCATTCTGTGTTGTAGGACAATGGGAAATTTTCACCCACTCATTTATTCCATACTGCTTTCCAAAATTACTCAGTACCCCATATAAATGGTCCTTTGGAGTATTGAAACTCCCTTTATCAATCAATCAACAAGTCCTTATTACTCCTCTCTGATTTGCCAAGTGCTGTGTTTGGCCATACAAGAGGAACAAAGGAAGTCTTTCATGAAGGAATTGCTTACTCTCCGCCAACTGCAGCCACTTCCAAGGGACTTGCCTGGCAGCAGTGCACTGACGCATTAGCAGGAGGGAACACTTATCACTTGATGCTGGAGTTGCCTGCTTTGTGCCCGCCTCCCCAGCAAGACAGGGAGCTCCCCCAGGGCAGGGCCTGTACCCTGCTCCCTGCTGCATCCCTAGTACTCAGCATGGTGCCTGGCACACAGTAGGCCTTCAGGACACCTCAATTATAAACTGATGGAAGGGAAAGTCAATATTTCGAATTCTTTAGAGGCTTCAGAAGCCCTATGCCCCTGGCTTCTGACACATAAAGATACTTCACGACAACGGTCAACCTCCCAGTGACGTGTTCTCCATCTTCCCAGGAGTCTTTGCCGTGAAAGAGGTTACACAGCAGCAAGAGGGCACGTTTTTGGTTTGCCTGTGATTGTGACAATTGCTCTGGCCCTAGAAGGAGACCCCCCAAATGCTCTAAAACAGCAACATTCCATTCAGTTTTCCTTGGCTGGCTTCCTGCAGAGGAGGAAGCCTCTCACGTCTTTTTCTGACCCCACCAAGTGATGGCTTTGGACAATCCCACCCTTCTGGCCTCCATCTGGCATGAGAAGAGCCTGGCTTTACAAAGGCATCTCCAGCAGAGAGAATGGAGGGCTTCGGGATGGAAGGGGAAGTACAGGGAAGCGGAAGGCTGCCAGGAAGCTAAGGCGGGAGTCCAGGGGGCTCAGAATTGGGTGCACGCTTACCCGGACGGTGGAGAGCCACTGATGGTACAGTTTGTCACTGCCTGGGGAAAGAGAAGTCAGAGAAGCTGTTACTTAAAGAGGTGATTTGTCCTTGGGAGTCCTTGAAATTGCTTTTTTGTTTTTTGAGACGGAGTCTCATCTCACGCTGTCGCCCACACTGGAGTGCACTGGTGCGATCTCAGCTCCTGGGTTCAAGCAATTCTCCTGCCTCAGTCTCCCGGATTATAGGTGCCCGCCACCACACCTGGCTAATTTTTGTATTTTTAGTAGAGACGGGGTTTCACCATGTTGGCCAGGCCGGTCTCGAACTCCTGACCTCAAGTGATCCACCCGCCTTGGCCTCCCAAAGTGCTGGGATTACAGGCATGAGCCAGCACGACTGGCCGAAATTGCTTTCCGCATTCAGGACTTGGAGATCCCTGTGGAGGGTCCCACATCCTGTTCTTAAAGGAGGCAGCAGCGAGCCACTGCCACAGGTTTCCCTCTCAAACAGAGCCGATCACGCAGTGCCCTGACTGCAAACTCAGCCACTACCCCGCTGCCTGCTGGCTGGAGGTCAGGCTCCGAGGCCGCCCCGCCACTCTCGTCCAGTCGTGCCTCGTGAGCTCTCCATCCTGTGCTGCTGTGACGCTGCATCACCTTACGTCCCACCACGGGGAACTACTTAAGGTACTACGGGGTCCGTAAGCCAGCATCCTCGCAGGCCTCCAGGCCCTTGCAAATACAGCTCCCTCGCCTAGTCACCACACCCTACTCTCTCTGCTTAGTAAACGTGGCAGGCAGCTCAGAAGTGATGTCCTCTGCAAGCTTCTTCCTCTGAACAGCCCTCTGGAATAGGTAACAGCCACTGAGACATCCATATTCTGGGAAGTACTGTGAGGGGCACCAGAGCCGGGACCCCCAGGGCTGTGTGTCCCATTGAAAGGACCCTGCTGGACACACACTGAACCCTCAGAGAGTGAGACGGAAAGAAAACGGAGGTGTTGTTGGTAAACTCCGTTCATTTTAAATGGTGGGTCTTAATCCACTGAATAAGTGAACTCAGTTTAGCAACACCTAAAGCCTGTTCTCCTGGAACTCACATGCAACCATTAGAACACAACTCTAGCCTGGCCTCCTTTGTTAAGCCCTCACATCACACAGTGAGGATTAACAGAGCCCTATTCTAACTGCACCGAAATCTGTTTCTACTCCTTTTCCTGCAATGGTTTAATTTCTGTTTGTCTTTAGTCATGCATTTCTCTCTCCTACCTAACACTTCTTGAGGGCAGAACTGGGTCCTCTGCTTTTTACTCCATGGGGCTCTGGACGTAGCAGGTATTCAGGAAATGCTTATCAGCGACTGGCTATTGCTGTTCGTAGACTTCATGGTGATTTTCTTAACTGTGCTTTCCATACAGCACAGGCTGGAAGGGCCTGCAACGTTTATAGGTGGATACTGTGCCTTGCTCTGTGAGCTTAAAAACTGCCAATTGGATTATCACAGTAGTCCAGAATAGACACACACCCAGCAATAAAAGGGGTATGTGTCTATTCTGGACGACCACCAGCCAGCAGCATGGGTGTCATTTTGCATCTGGTTTTGCCTTCGCTGCCAAAGACTGAGGCAATGGGATTTGGAATGGTCAGATTGGCATTCAGGAGGCCGACTCAGCCACCAACACCTCTCTGGGCCTCAGATACCTCCTCTGAAAAATGAGAAGACAAGCCCTTCAGTTCTTCAGATCTACACAGACCAGGCACTCAGCAATAATTTGTCATATTTTAAAGAAACAGGGCTGGGTGTAGTGGCTCACACCTGTAATCCCAGCACTTTGAGAGGCTGAGGTGGGTGGATCACCTGAGGTCAGGAGTTTGAGACCAGCCAGACCAACATGGTGAAACCCCGTCTCTACTAAAAATACAAAAATTAGCTGGGCATGGTGACACATGCCTGTAATCCCGGCTACTCGGGAAGCTGAGGCAGGAGAATCACTTGAACCTGAGAGGCGGAGGTTGCAGCAGTGAGCGGAGATCATGCCACTGCACCCCAGCCAGGATAACAGAGCAAGAGTCTGTCTCAAAAAAAAAAAAAGAAAAGAAAAAGGAAAAAAAAAGCTTACTGTACACGGTCCCCATGTCAGGGACTGTCCTGGATGACTGTACAAATCTTCCCTCATATACTCTGATTTAATCTCAAAAGGAATCCTGTGAGGTAGGACATGGTACTCTCAGGGCATGGATAGGAACTTTAGCTAAAGGAGGGGAAATGACTCACCCAGGGTCTCGCAGCTTGTGAGGAGACAGAGTCCTGACTTGAATCCAGGCCTCCTAACTGAATACTGCATGTGCTTCCCAGTGGACCACGCTGGCCACTACTTTAACTAGACTTTGTCTACACAGGGGAAGCAACTGACCCTAGGCTGGGGGATTTCATATGGGCCAGTGTGCATTTTGTCAGAAAACGAAGAGGAATTCTTCAAACATTTCAAGGCCAAGCTTGAAATCAGTCTCTTCCTAAGCCCCAGTAAAGGAAAAGCAAGTCACTGCCACTCCTTGTCAAATATGCCCTATACGATGGCGGCCTGCAGCCCCGGAAGGAAAATGAGATGCTTCTCACCAGCGTACTCGCCCATGTTGATTTCCTCTTCAAAAACATCACTGAAACCTTCGCCGGAATTGAGAAGATCTAATCGACCATCAATAAACTATAGAAAGAAAACACAAAAGCACAACAGCTCTTATGAAGAAAAGGGGGAAAAACCATTCAGCTGGGCACCTTACTGTATCCAAGGTAGGAGTTTTCTAAAAGTAAGGCTCAACAGGCAAGTTTCTTTCTAAAATACCGGCTGCATGTTTATGATAACTTGGAAAACCACATGGCAGATCTGCAAAGGGTCTGCCTGGTCAGTGACTGCCCTCTTCACCCAATCCCCCTCCCCTGAGCCTCTTTGGCCTGGGGCCTGAGTCCCATCCATGCCTGTGGCCTCAGTGCTTAGAGTGGAGACAGCCGCAGAAATCCCCGCCAGGGAGCCAGACCCAGGCCAGACCAAGGAGGGTGGCACCTGCTTGAAGAGCTGCAGCTGTGTGGCGTTCTGCAGGAACTGCCTCATGGCTCCGGAGCGGTAGTGGGACACGAAAGCTTCCTCACAGAAAGTGATCGGCTCCTCCTGGGAAGTGCAGAGGGGAGACGAGGGTCATTGGCATAGTGTAAGAACCATCAGTTCTGAAATTCCTATATGCAGAGCTTCCCCATCTGCTATTTTTTTTTTCTTTTCCTTTTCTTTTTTGAGATGGAGTGTCACTCTGTCATCTAGGCTGGAGTGCAGTGGTGCTATCTCAGCTCAGTGCAACCTCTGCCTCCCAAGTTCAAGCCATTCTCTTGCCTCAGCCTCCCGGGTAGCTGGGATTACAGGTGCCCCCCACCATGAGTGGCTAATTTTTGTAGTTTTAGTAGAGATGGGGTTTTACCATGTTGGTCAGGCTGGTCTCAAACTCCTGAACTCAAGTGATCCACCTACCTTGGCCTCCCAAAGTGCTGGGATTATAGGTGTGAGCCACTCTGCCTGGCCCCCATCTGCTAACTTTTCTAACCCTCATGAGTGCAGTAGCTATTACCAAGGAATTCATTTCCTTTACGGATGAGGAAGCTGTTTCAGAGAGGAAGAGTCATCCTGCAAAGTCACAGAGAGGGTGGGCGGCAGAGCAGGAACCAACAGTCAGATTCTACACCCCATCTCCCCTTCCATACCCCAAGGGCTATTTAGGGAGACATGACCTCCAATGTGAAGATTTCCAAACTTTTCGCTTTTAGCAGCAGAACCCTTTATTCAGATAGGATTTTATGCAGAAGCAGCCCTGCTAGGCCGGGCGCGGTGGCTCATGCCTATAATCCCAGCTCTTTGGGAGGCCGAGGCAGGTGGATCACCTGAGGTCGGGAGTTTGAGACCAGCCTGACCATCATGGAGAAACCTTGTCTCTACTAAAACTACAAAATTAGCGGGGCATGCTGGCTCATGCCTGTAATCCCAGCTACTCGGGGGCTGAGGCAGGAGAATTGCTTAAATCCAGGAGGCGGAGGTTGCGGTGAGCTGAGATCACGCCATTGCACTCCGGCCTGGGCAACAAGAGCGAAACTCTGTCTCAAACAAAACAAAACAAACCCAAAAATGAGCTGAGCCGAGTGTATTGGCAGGCTCCTGTAAGCCCAGCTACTCGGGAGGCTGAGGAAAGAGAATCGCTTGAACCTGGGAGGCAGAGGTTACAGTGAAATGAGATGGTGCCATTGCACTCCAGCCTGGGCAACAGAGACTCCATCTCAAAAAAGAAAAAAAAAAAGTTACATAGAAGGAACCCTGTTACCTGAGCTCCATAATGCAGAGCTCAGCTGCTCTGGAGAACCTGGGCGTAGAGCAGGGGTGGTGGCTGGGTTCTCCAGGCTTAGCCACCTTCTCACCCCCCTACATTGCAGGCATCTTTGCAGTCCCTAGGCCACTGGCTGTGGGACATACTTTGAAGACCATTTACACAGTGATCCTAACCAATAGCGAACTGAAATTTTAAAATAATTATTTTAAAGAACAGGGATGATAAAAAAATAAAATATACTATCCAATCGATTTTGTGCTTATGCTGTTTGATAAGCAAGTTTGCTTTTACCAAACCATATTTTATGAGTCAAGACGACGATACCCTGAGTTAAAAAAAAAATCCTATCCGTATAGAGTTAACACCTTAATCTTTCTTTGAACACATCTGGAGTGCTTATCTACGCAGACAAGTCTTTAATTTCAGCGGTGTATTCTCAATTCTGAGAGATCAGACTTTCAGATCTTGAGCTGAATTAAGGGTAACACCCCACCCCCCAGCCTTGGTAGCAAACACAGAGATGTTTGAAGCTCCACTTTTATCCTATTTTAATGAGTTGCATGAGTGTTAAATTTACTGTCGAGCTTCTGTAAGTTCTAAGAGTTCTTCCTGCTTAAATCTAGCCAATATTAACTCAGAAACTGGGCAGACTTATTGCACAAGGGCTGTGAAGATGACCCAAAAATATTAGGGTAAGGAGAATATTTATTTTTATACAGTTGCACCCTACCTAATTTTACAAATGATCTGAGGCAGCTTATATGAGCATCTAAAACAACAAAGAAAAACATCAGGGCTGCAAAATACATAGATATATAAAAAGTATTTATTTGGGAAAAAAGTAGCTGGGTGTGTAGGTCCTATGTGGCTTCTAAGTTAAGTTACAAAATTAGCTCTGAACTTCCTGGCTGCTGGAGCAAGAAGGAAAACAATGTAAACTTTACTTTGTGTACAAGAAAAAAACAAAAACCCACACTAGTTCCTTGGGAAAAATAGCTTTATGTTCCATTTATTACGTTGGCATGGGTTTATATCTTCCTTGCTCAATAGCCAAGAAACCAGCTAGTGATAACTAATAGAAGCCCAGCTAGAATTCCATTCCTGTGGCTTGGAAGTTTTGTTCTCACTCTTGGGACCAGAGCAGGGCAATTAATTCTCTCTCCAGGTGATCTCATCCATGCACCCAGCATCACTCATACACTGATGACTCCTGACAAATCCTGGCAGCTCAGACACCTTTCCGAAGCTCTATACCCATCCATCTCAGCCTCCACCTGATGGCCCACTGGCGTCTCAAACTCAAAATAGCCTGAAACTTCCAATTACTATCCCATCAAGACTGTGCCCCAAATCTATTTTTGTTTTTTTCTTAACTGTCATTTTCCACGGTTACCCACAGTGGACCTATCAGACTTCCTAACTCCTTCCTATTTTACCTGAGAATTGTCTCACGCTCACTCCTGGCTCTCCATCTCACTACCTTGGCGCACGCCTGGACAGGCTTAAACCATGGTGGAGGTTTAACTCCATGCTCCTCTCCTGTTTCATCCCTCCCATTCTACTCCAACTCTTCTGGCTAGAGTGCTTTCTAAAATGCAAACCAGACCACATCACTATCCTATTCAGGAACTCAGCACAGAGGTTACCTTTGTGTGATTATCTGACGAATGTCTCTTTTTCCCACTAGACTATATGCGTCACACAGGCCGGAATGGTGTCTGTTTTGTTCAACACTATGCGCCTAGCAACATGTGTGGCACACACAAGGGCCCAATGTGGGTGAAGAAAGGGAGAGCTCCTTAACCAGCAAATGCACCCTCCCGAAGCTGACCCTGGCTTCCTTTCCTAGAGTCCTTCTGTGTCACTTTGCCTCTGGCCTTCCACATACCTCATGCTCCAAACACATCCCATGATCACACGCCACATCCTTCCTTCCCCACCTTCTTCTTTGCTTTTGCCAGTTCTATTCCTCCTTGGACTGTCCTCCTGACACACGCAGGCCTCTGTGTGGCAGTCACTCATCCCTGCTTGTTGCTCCCAGTGCCGCGTGCACTCCTGGGCGCTGGGATAGTCTTCACTGGTAACCCCTCTCACCAGGAGCTCAAGGGGCCAGAGGCTGAACTCATCTCTATAGGCCCCAAGTAGAGCCCAGCCCCTAATTAGAAGCTCAGGGATGTTGGTTAAAGAAGCACGAAATGAGTTGAACCCTGCTTCCAGCCACAGGAGCCTTGTGGTCTCAGTATGTCTCTGACACTGCTTGGCCTGATGGTAAAGAGGTCTCAGAGCACAATGCCAGGCAAGTGCCACCCGTGCACAGGGAGTTGAGCTGCTCCAAGGAAATGCTCACTGAAGTTGTTGGCATTCACTCCTGGAGCTTTGGCCCAGGGTTGCCAGGAAGAAGTCTGCTGAGGGCCCGATACATTCAAGAGAGTTTGCAACCAGATTCGTAGAGGAGGGTAGCCTGAGACAGAATTTAGCTGCAGGAGAGCAGAAAGAATCTCACCTTTGGGGAAACACAAACATGTCGGGCCTGTTGTGTACTCACGGGAGGTGATATCCCCTGGACCAGATGTCTGTGCCCTAAAAATGCAACAGGATATGACATGGAAGGGAAAGATCAGGGGAAATGTGACAAGGGGCTTTTTCTGAAAAGAGCTTAAAGAACAGCATCAGATGTGTGAATTAGACATGGGAAGAAAGTCTACCACACGATGTAGTGTTACCAGAGTGGGGTGGGGTCGGGGGCAATGGGTCCACAGGAGTCCAAGGAGGAAAAGGCAAATCTTCCCAGGGCAGTAGGTCAGAAGACATGATAAGTGGACACTTCACCTGGGCCTGGAAGGGTGAATAGGAGTTAGGTGAGCAAATCCTGTCTTTTCAGGGCCCAACTCTTCTATCTTAATCCTGCCACAAGGCGGTGACGTTGTCACCCAGAACCGTGCATAAAGGTCTGCATGGCACCAGGCACAGAGGGCTCTCTTTCCTGGAGCAACTCACCTTGTAAGACAAAGGCAATAATCATAGTTTAACTCTGAGTGAGGCACAGTGCTATGCACTTCACAACTCGCAACATTCTGGAAACTTTTATGCAGTCAAAATTATACTCAAATTTTACAGAGGAATAACTGAGGTAAAGACATCTGCCCAGGTGACAGGATTCAGACATTGCAGAGTCAGGGTTAAAGCTGGTGGTCTCCCAAGCCCAGGTGTGCAGCATGCATGTGGTCTACTGCAGGCCTGGCTCCTCCCTGCGGCCTCAGTCCTAACTGCTTGCCCTCAGACCTCCCTGGACAGGAGAGTTCTCTTTAAAATTGGAAACCTGGCCGGGCGTGGTGGCTCACGTCTGTATTCCCAGCACTTCCGGAGGCAGAGGCGGGCAGATCACCTGAGGTCAGGAGATCGAGACCAGCTTGATCAACATGGTGAAACCCTGTCTCTACTGAAAATACAAAAATTAGCTGGGCGTGCTGACGGGCACCTGTAATCCCAGCTACTTGGGAGGCTGAGGCAGGAGAATCGCTTGAACTCCGGAGGCAGAGGTTGCGGTGAGCCGAGATCACGCCATTGCACTCTAGCCTGGGCAACAAGAGCAAAACTTCATCTCAAAAAATAAAAACAAACAAAAAAATTGGATCCCTTTAGGTTCTCCTGGACACACAAAGCACCAGCCCTTCAGAGACACACAGCTCCTGGGAGTAAACAAGCCGCTGTGAAGGTTCTTTCTGCCACAGGCCCAAGGCGAGGTGCCAAGCCACTCCCACCAGCTCGTCCACCTGCGTCCTGCAAGTAGAAATGGCAGCCC